ATGGAAATTGTAGATCTCGTCGTCCTCTACAAGAAAGGTCCTATGCAATTTTCCCGTACGACCAAGGGTTTAGGAGTTATTGAGGAGAAACGAAATTTTTTGTCAAAAGTTGGCTGATTCGACGGTGGAATGGTCGGATTTCGTCAGTGCCAATAAAATGCCATATAATCATACTTAACTCATTAAATATCGAAATTAGAAGAAAAGTGCACTATTTTTAATTATAGGAAATGCGTCTTTCGAAGATACATAAACTTTTGGGATTGACTGTATAGCCAATACATCCTTAAAGGAATATATGAATCCTTGTCTTTTAATAAATTAATACTTTTACAAGGAAGTGAATATTACGCTATTCCAGACAATAGTTCCCGATTATGCTGATGATATTATCTTTTAGAAAAAGAAAGTCGAAACGATTGTTACGCGAATAGGCTGGTTCCTCTTTATCCAGCGGCCACTGGTTTCACAATTTGCTTAAAAGCAATTGCGCGCATACGCAGGAAATACTTTATCAGAGCTGAGAGACCAGTCGCACCGAAAGCGCATTCCTTCGACTCGTAAAGCATGTTTCCGTGTACCGAGCTAATCGAGCTTAATGCAGCACAATTATTCGGACGACAATTACGACTTTCAAGCGTCTACTAAATTTCCAGGTTTCCGATAAACGTTCCTTTAATTAGCTACACACTCTCGATCGATAACGCTACGAAAGTAATTCACTTTCTTCAACCAAGAGAAAATGAAAATTATTTTAAGGCACATTTACCTTTTGGAGAATATATACACGTTACATGTATTACAAAATTAAAATATTAGACTTTCTCGAACGAGGAGTAAATGAGAATAGTTTTACGGCTGCTGTGCGAGAATGCGCAGGATTTTATTGATCGAGAATCTGACGCTAGAATTTCTACGATTGCTGGATTAACCCTTACGACGACGGCCTCGTTGCTAATTCCAGCATAAAATTTGAATATCTACCGAGTGGTTGCTCGACACCGCTTATATTACTCGCTCTAAGCAACGAGACGAGAAAAGAAATGATATCGCCTCTCTAATTTTAATTACGCTTTTCTAAGAATATAAAATTTTATTAACCAACATAAATGTTTCTGTTGCGCCTGACGACGAATTGTAAAATTAAATAGAAAACACATAGTAGATATCAAAGAAAGATAGAAAGGTTCGTCGAGAATGAGTATATCGAGAAAGCTATGCTTCAAATAAATAAATTATAACAGTATGTATCTATTAGATATGAAAATTAATTCATAGCCTTTTTCCCATAATCTTATTTAGTCGTGTTAATGAATTTGTTTGCATATCTAATATTTAGAAACACTGTTAAACGATAATACGACGTATCTATATGACATACAAATGAATTCATAGTATTCTGTTCATTGTAATTTTTCTTATGTCTATGAATTTATTAGTACTAATATTTAGGCGCGCCGTCGTCGAGGGTTGAGGACCCGTTAACGCTTGTTTAATCTCCCAGCTGGTTGACGTTTGTAGTACTCACCGGAATGATAGCGGCTCTCATTGCGCGTGAGTCTGCGATTGCCGCGTCTCGCGGCCGCCGAGTTCGAATTCCCGGTGTTTCCGGTGGAGCCGCCAGATCCCGGGGGACTCGCGATCCCTCCAGGTACTAGCCGGCCTCCTGCATGCAACACAACAACAACAACGCCACATAGACAAAGATAGGACGGCTACCAGGATCGACGACTGGGATCAACTACGTTTCGGTCATTTCTACCGGAAGAGGAATTACGTACATGCCCTTCTTAGCCATTAAAATTCATTTACAGACTGCGAATTATTCATAGAATAATTCATAGCTCGAAACTGACGGAATGTTTAATTAAAAAAAAAAACTTCTACTTTTCTGTCTCGAGGGAACGCTGTATCAAGTGAATCTTTTATGTCGTACGCTTGTACAAATAAGGAACTTTCACTTGTGAATAGAAAAGGGTTTTAGTTGGACAGACACATTTATTTTATTCTGAGAAAGTTCAAATTGTGACAAGCAGATTTTCTGTGAATGTTTCGCTGTACGTTTCAAACTTTCAATTATAAAACTCTTCTAATACCAATTTAGAGAATTAAGTCTAGATTCAGATTTCTCTTACTCTTTACAGATAATGATTTAGATTATCCACTTAACTTGTACTTTCATACATATTGAATGTACTTTTTGTGTAATTTTCATAAATCCAGTCTGTCATTTTAAACGTCTAATGTATGATACTTGAAATTTAGCTAGGAAGGGCAGAATACAAATCGCTCCACCTTACATCTCTATTAATCTGAGACGAATCGACGTTTGAAGATTAAATTACAAATTAGTATACTACCACAAGTCTCTCAGTCCATTTTCAAAATTGGTATATTTAGTGCAATCTGTTTTGTACGTAACAAAGACCAGAAGATTGAAAACCTGTGTTACTATCAAAAAGCACATAAGTTCTTAAATGTGACTTGTACTGAAAAGTGTGTCGAATAGACACATCCAGTTTTGATATTATACTACGAAAATACATTTAACTAAAATCAACTGGATTGGAGCTAAGTCGATTCGTCTCTATGTCTAGATTGGAAGTGGGGGTTTGAATCATTTGTACGGAGCTGGGTTTGGCCGTCGACGATCGGTCGTTCCACCTTCGGAAGCTGCGACGATTTCACTTTTATCGATTGTTCGCAGCTCTGCAGTGGCGCAGGGACCTCGGAAGAGGAGGTGGGCTGTGTGACGCGATTCAATCCACGTAACTCGAACACGACCCGGCAGCTTTTAAAAGACGCCCGGTATGCGGCGTCGAGCTAAACACCCGACTAACGTGTTTCACGCTTTTATTATCAACAGATTGCCGACGCGTAAACCTTGACTGATCATAAACCCTCCCGCGATTTAAACAACAGCTAATTACTTCCTATCTCGTTCACTGACATTATATATTTACTATATAGATTTATATAACAATAACATAATTTCTATTTATCAGTTCTTGTATAATGAACACTGATAATGACAAGGCAAACGTCTGTGCATTTTTCAGACTGGTTATTAGAAATGAATAAATTTAAAAAAAAAGTAAGCATAAAAGTGTCTCGTAAGCCATCTTTAAAACGTTATCACGAATTCCCGAAATTATTCATCTCGATAAGGATTCCCAGTATTTTCTTGGTGTAGCTCGAGCTGCGACGAACTCGAGGCCCAGAAGGTGGAACAACCGGTCCCGGCTATGTCGAATTACAAAGGTATATCATCTAAGGTGTTAAAGCATCTCTGCTCGAATCGGTACACACGAAGGATTACAAGCAAGCGAGCTACATCAAAAGAAAAACATGATGACCTCTTCAAGTCCTGTGTCCGTTCGTTATTCAGTATTGTTCGACATTTTAAAAAATGCATTTATTCATTTGGATGCAATTATGATTTTAAAAATCACTGATTTAAACGTCTTGATTAAATCAAATGATTGAATCCTAAACATTAACGACCTGAGTGCGATTCCAATCCTAAGATTCAGTATTGTTCGACTCTAGGGTTTAACGTTTGAACAAATGTATTTATCTTAAGAAGAACTGAAACGTTAGTAACGGTGCGTTCAAAATTTTAATGCACGAGAATCATTTTGTTATTCACAGATAAGACAGGATTTGTTCACTAAAATATCTGCAGTCAATTGATAAAACGTGATACAGTTCCATCATTCTCATTTCAATTCGTATCGCATTTTACCAGATGCTGGCAGATTTCCATACTAATTACATACGTTAGATCAGGTCTGGCAAATCTAGGTTTAAGCTGTTAAGGTACTTTGGGAGATCAGACGAACAAGGTTCTATCACGATATCTGCAGAGGACACGAAGAGGTTGACTCACACTACATACGTACGTAATCGCTACTAATGAGAATGATTTACTCGAATTAATTACGGATGAATCGTGAAACGTGAAATGATGATGGCTCGAGCTACGATGATCAAATCGAAATTATATAACGAAACAGTAAATGCAAATCGATTGAACGAATTCTTCGACGAACCACCAATTTTGTGTCTATACGTGCGTGATGAAGATCTAAACCGTGCATATAAATTTTGGAAAGAGATTCATATTTACAGATGTCGTTCGACTCACCAATCTGATTCATTAGCAATGAGAGATTTTCTATTTACAATAGCAATCTGACTTCCAGTAGAATAATTAACCCATTTGCATCGTACGCGTTTTGATGCAATGCTCCATACAATAATTAATAAAATAATGAATATACTATTTGATACGAGAACAACAATTGCTGTGTTGATCGTCACAGTACATTTAATGACTCGAATGGATTAAATTGTTCGTTCGCGAATCGGAGTTCCGATTTAAATCTCGTAGTAAATTAGCCGAAAAACGAAGGGGTTTGGTTGATTTAATCGAATCGGGGAAGGAAATTATTTTCTGCGAGCCGAGCTGGAATTCGCGAAAAAATTTCGCCAACGACTCGGCTTAGTCTGAAGTGCGAAGCCCGAGGGGTCCGTCCCGCCGCTTAATTAAGACGAGGACCAACGGCATCGCAATTATCCAACGAGTGCTCGACAGCCTGTCAGCTATTCACGAATCTCCCCGTCTGATGGTCGCGTTCCTTATACATTTTTTTTTTTATTCTAACCCGCGTACATAAAGACGACTCTTTGAAGGATCGGCCGATTCTTCTATCCTCTCCCCTCCGCACAATGCCGTTCTACCCTTCGCGAATTTATGTCAAAGGGTTTCACCCTACAACCTTGCGTTATAAAAAAAGAGAATGGTAAACAGAAACGTTGATTATTATTAAAGCCGAGACGCGAGGTTAATAATTCTTCAACCGGAAGTCAAATTCAACTCTTTCTATGACAAAACTCAGATTAGACGAGATACAAATTAGGATTGTAAAAAACACAAGGATGAAACACAACGAAACGATGAGAGACGGATAAGGAAGCTACGTAAAGAACAGTCAAAAATGCACACTGGTTCGGTGAACGATAACAACATCGGGTGTCTAATGAAAATATGTTGTTTCCTACCGAAACCATAAGTACTAACGGTATCTCTAGTGGCTAATTGCTGTTCGGCGATTAGTACAGTGGACCCTGCCGTCTGCCGTATCAGCCGCTAAGTTCTAAGTCTCTAAGCGTGTTACCAGGTAAAGAGTACAAACAGATATACACCGGTTCCATCAGATTGGCCCACCAGCTCTTCTCATTATTTTCTACCAAGCATTCAAGCATTTATACAAGTGATATATAAGATTATATTAAATCTATGTAGATTGTATTAAAAATATATCATTTTTAAATGAAAATGCATATTCGTAAACATTTTATTCAGCACAAAAATGCACAGCCCATACAAATGGGAGATTGAGCAGCTCTCAAACGATATTAAATATCCTGCTATTCTAATGGATTTTGAAGACACTGGTAGGACAAGCTAATGTAATCGTGCGATGGGTCGCGCTACCTGAATGATAGCGCTTCTCGTTGTGCGTGACACGGCGTTGCGTGCGTCGTGCACGTGGCTGCGGTCGGCCGCCGAGACCGACGCCCAGCCCGACGCCGACGCCGACGCCACTACCAACACCGCCACCACCACCGCTTCCATAACCCGTTCTCTCGACCCCTCCGATACCGAGGACGCCGACACCTCCTCCATCCTTTCCAGCCCCTGTGTGCCATACACGTGCATATGCAAAAAAGCCACCCTCCTCCAGACTCTTCTCGTTCCGATTCTCAAACGAGGGGAAACTCGCCGGCTCGTTTACCATCCCCTCGACCACCCCTTCGCGCGCAAACCCGGACAGTTACGTTTAAATACACCACTGCTCGAAATTATGAGACGGTTAAGCGACTTCATGTATCTTAGCTCGTTCTGAAGAAATATATTTGATACCTTATCGTGGATTACTAGACCTTGCATTCTGATTACTCATTATTTCAGGATTAATAGTATTTGGGATACGCACAGGACCAACTAGAATGCACACTAAACGCATGTAAATCATTCTAGTATTATTATAACAAATACCTGCATACACGTGCCGCATAATTTCATAATAAATTAATAGACCTATCGAGTGTATCTGTTTCGGTTTTGATCATGAAAATCCGTGGTATAGAAAATTTTCTCTTTTTAAAATTACCGAGACTCGAAGTTTACGGTTACGGTCACGGTTCGCTCGATTATGATTCGACGGTATCAGAATAGAGCTAACGCTCGCGCGTAGGTCACGCTCTATGGAATTTAATAACGTTCGAACGGACCGTGACAGTATCGTGACCACCGGTGTAAATCGTGTACCACATTTTTCCCTCTAATCGAATCACGCCTATCGACACCGATCTCGCCCCGATGCAATTAAAATAACTTTTAATCGGTCATTGTTATCGACCACGCGTTCCATGTTCTATCTGCGGTATCTCGAAATCAATGAGCAGATGCATGCATTTAATTTAGAGAAAAATGTATGCATTTAATTTAGATAAAATATAATGAATATAAAAAAAGCAGTGTGCATATTGCAACGATGAAAGGAATTTCTGTTTTCCTAATTGAGAGAGAGAGAGAGAGAGAGAGAGATACTGTAACGTTGCGTAAAAATCTGTAGTCTATCCCTGAACCTGTGACCCGGGCCTTATTGTCGGAAGGAATTCGAAAAGGACGACGAGAACGTTGTTGCAACCGATGAGGGAGCGAATACAATGGTGTGACACGATAATCGTTGGTTACACGTAATATGTCCCCAGAGAAGCTACCTTTTGTTCACGGTTACGTGTTCCTGGGATAGTCTCTGAATCAAGTGCGATGATAAATCGCTTCATTCCTACCCGTTTCCATACTCGCGTATTTTATACCCGATATTAACGTAAAATTTAATTTTAACTAATTCGATTCGGAATTATTTTTAAATTCCAATTGATCTACGTGTTAGCCCGAGCGTTAAACTGAGGTTTGCAGCGACTGGAGAATTATAATTGTAGAGAAAAAAAGAGACCCGAGGAAAATCGGTCGGAAAATTGTTTAGTACGTGACTCGAAACAACGTCTTGACTCGGAGAGCTCGAGCGTGCGCGACAATGGCAGATGTACGCGGCGTATAACGAGCGGATAACGCGGAAATAGCTCTTCCGTATGCAGGTACAGTTAAACAGTACGTACGTACGTACGTACGTACGTTGCTGCAGCGACCGATTGCAGCAGCGGTTCGAACGATCGCAGCTGCAGCCGAAGGCGCGACCGTGGCTGATGCTTGTTTAAACCTTCCTGGCAAAACGAATTCCTTAACCGACTTACATCACCGGTCTCAAATATTATTAATGAAATCGGAAGAGTATAATCATATGATGCAACGTTCCATGGAATAATTCGTAGAACAAAAAAGTTAAAATCATCAACTAATATAAATTACAAAAGGAATTACAATGAAACGCTGCATGAATCATCGTATCAAAGATTTTATGAACCACTGCATGAAATATTGCATTAAGCATTAGAAGAATCATGATAAGAATTGCTACACGAGATACTATATTCTAGTACTTGTGGCCGGCGATGGAAAAATGTTTGGCACGAGTGTGGAACGAGTCTGGGTGGGGCGGGCAAGGGGATATTGCGTAAGAAGAGAAAAACCAGTAGAAGGTGACGGATGGAAAACGGTGGCGAAGAATACGCGGCCGCGTCTCCGCGTTCCTCCCCTCTTATTCCCATTACCGATTGCATCTGCCTAGGCCAGGCCGGGCGCATTGTGCGATGCCCGTGTCTCTTGAGAATCGGAACGCGATTAATATTGCCAACGATCAACGCAGAATGAGAGACCGCGTTGCGTCTGGCGCAATAGACGCGAGATTATCACCGGGACGAGAAGCTTTTCGACCCGTAACAACATCTTCGACATTTTCAATTTCTTATCGTTCGAACTAGAGTTCGAAGTTTTTAATTATCTATTGTTTTACGTATGACATAAGTCAACGAGACCGAGAAACTGATATTCCTATAAGAAAGGCACTGAATTTCTTTCAATCTTTATTCGCAATAATTTTGTGTTAATGGCGTATAAAAATCGAGAGAGATTTTCAGAACGTTAAATCGAAGAGAAAAGCAGCAATTCGTCTCGCTGTTACTTTTCTCTTCTTTAACATTAACAGCCAGTTTGCACCTCTTTGAGAGAACGTCAAATGGATGTTCAAAGTACAGACAGTAACTCGTGTTTCATTGATGAATTACGCAGCAAAAAATCACGCTGCTACGACCAAACGAGTTGGTCATAAATACGGTAGACGATAAATCACCGATAATTGTTCACGGTAGAAAAAATCTAGGAGACTTCGTGGCAATGGAATTGAAAACAATCGGATTCTGCATCTGTTGTAGATACAACAGCTTCGAAAGCTTCTCGTCGATGCGATAAGAATGACAAACATGGGTGAGCATGATTCGATTCGCGAAAGAGAATTCCGACTCACCCAGCTGCTTCGAGGCATACTGCTGTAGCAGACGTGTCCGTTTCTTCTCGTAACCCTTCTGCGTAATGTCCCCTGAAACAATAAATTACAGTTCAATTAAATAAACGCAATTAAACATTAAATTGAGATCTTCTCGGTCGTACAACTTTCATAATGACCGGTACACGTAAAAACCGATCGAGGATGAAACGACGAAGGAATGACTAAATAAGAGGCGGCCAATTTCCCAATGCTCGTTCCACCGCGACCGAAAAAGGACTTTCGATACTCGGGGTAATTTCTTCGCGGCACGAAACTACCGTGGAATTTCGAGGACGATCGGTGAACGCGTCCGCAGCTGTTCTCGTTCGATCCGCGAAGAGACACCTGACTGAATGTCTCGACCTCGCCAAACGAGAGGCCCAATCGAATTCACCTTTAGAAAATCAATTCCCAAGATACGCAAATCGTCGAGACCTGCTCTAGAACCGCATTCTTCGATTCATTCCGTGACGCAATATTAAGCTATTTACATAGAATTTTCCTAGCTATCCACGTGGATCGATCTCTTCGTCATTATCACCAAGGTAAACCAATTTAAAGTATCATGTGAATTTATCGGTTTTGTTACAAAGCTTAGGAAAATGAATTTCGATTTGACGAGACAGGAACACATAAAATCAGTGAGTATCGTCTCATGCCAAACGCATAGAAAATGGCTTTCAATCAAATCAAGAAATATTATGATTCTATAGATGATACATTGCATTAATTAACGTATCAATCATGTCATGAAACGTTATATCAGTTCGTACATCAATTCTGGCAAGAATCATCATATGCAGCATTGTTTCCCAGCAACTAATTTCCCAATAAAGAACCGTGTTTCCCGTGAAATTTCGTTAAGAAAAGAATGGATTGTAAATTTCTGCGTCGCAATGAGCCCTGGTTACCCACGTGTCTCGCACTATGCGAAACGAGTCGAGTTGCCCGGCGTCACGCCTCGTAACTCGAGAAAATGCCTAGAATCGATCGGCTAACGGCCGAGACACGATTTTTCCAGGTGCGAGCACCGGCATAAAACGGAACTAGGCCATACAACATTATCAGTGAATAAATTTTTACCCCGAGGCCAGTCAACACGAAACTAGACAATTTTCCATATAATTACATATACAGTTAGCACAATTATGCATTCCTAACTAGAGAACTATCATATCACTCGTTTACATTTTTCGCCTCGTGCAACAGTAAATCGAAAATAGAATTGTCGAGGCTCACGCAGTTATGTAAATAACAGAAAGTTTCTGAACGGTAATTCTGCGCGATGTTATCGCACCTAACAAGAGAAATGGTTCAATTATCTCAAATTGAATCAATTGTCTTGGCAACGCGCTGGCGCCGAAATGTGTAAAGCATGATATATACGTACTTGAAGTAATCCTTTATAAGAAATTCTTATTAAGAGCGAAGTGTTTAAAAGGAACGAGGAAGTGGAGGGTTCGTTCGGAATGGTAGTGAAGCGTTTCAGGTGAGTTAGAACGTCGAGCGCGTATCTCCTCGGGCTATCTAACCGCTAGTTAAAATTATCGGAACGCGGATCGACTGGTCCTACGGGCAAAGTGCATATTGCGCGCGGACCTATAAACGCGAACACGTCGAAGGGAATTATTGCACGGTCGAGTTATGGTTAACGCGCAGTGAAAAGAATTTCTCCATTGGGGATGCGCGTCTATTAAACGGTAGCGATCCGTGAGACCCGCGACTAGGACAATCACATTTCCACCCTGCAGACTCTGTAAACAGTGTGAAAATAGCGAAGAAATAATGGAGTCTTTCTCAATAAGATTTAAATCAAAAGTGCAAGGAATACTCTGGGTATGCGTAATATGTTAATTATGCTACACTCTATTAACTTTCCAGTGCACAATAACAACTTTTCCTTCTTCGAATAAAAGAGCAATCAAACGTTGATAGACCGTCTGGGAGAGGCGACAATTAGTACGACGAACGTGCACCGATTCGAAATCAGGTTGAACCGGGGCAAAAACTGCAGTGAGACCAAACTGGGTGTCTCTTTTACGCAATTAACGCCGCGACGGGCAGACGAAACGCAGACAGCCGTGAATTCAAGACTAATCGTAAGCAGTGACGCAACGTTTGATCGATAGACCGCGGATCTTTATGCAAAATCATTTGTCGTAGTCGATTTACAAAGTCTGAATATTTTCAAGCACTGTACGTATTTTGCATACGTACGTACGTCCTGCAATTTTGCGGCGTTGAAATTTCTAATGAATGCATAAAAATCCGTCTTGCCATTTATACGAGCATGTAAATAAACGGAGAGAATTTGAAGAAATATCTTTGAAGCATTGCTCCTTACTGGGTCTTTTCCTCAAGGATGAGCACTTTCGCACGAGAAAGACTGGCTGGCCGGAAGCCTTTCTTAGCTGCGATTTTCGCCTGAGAGGTCTCCTCCTCAGCCCCGACCTCTGCCTCTTCAAGTGCTGCTGCCTGTGCACCGCGTGAGAGCTCTTCCTGCGTTCAAGATGACTGGGCTCGTCTTCCGTCTCGCTGTCGGTAGACGAGAGGCACCTGTAGTACGTAGACGAGTCCGTCCTCGCCTTCTCTTTCCCTTTCGACAAGAAGTTGAGGAATTGGCTGCTCGCGAAATAGTTCGAAGTCACCGGTCGCCATGTGGTTCTCCGCGCGAGGACGCCCTTCGTTCTTAACTCCTCGGAGAACAATTTATCCTCGTTGAAATCGCTGATCTTCGGTGGGCGACAAGCCGACGACGAGGACGACGTCGCAGAGAAAGAACCCAACGAGGACGAGTTCAACGCCTCTCGTCCGTCGTTGAAGTCACCGGAGAGCAACAATTTTAAATCGTCGAACTGGTCGTCGGACAGATTCGACGACCACTCGTCGATCCTCTCGATGACCGGGTTGTTCTCCGTCTCGGGGAAATACCTAATCTCCCGCCAGACGCGTCTCTGCCGTCTCGAGCGGCGTCGTTCCGGCGGTACGAACCACACGGGACTATTCGAACGAACTGGTTGTTGCTTCTTCGCCCTCTGGGACGTCCGTTTTCCACGGCGCCGGGTGCTCGATCGCCTCGAGGCGGTCGTGCGCTTGAAGTACCCCTCGGCGCTCACGCTCGGCGACGGTTTCGTTCGACGATTGAAGAAACCGTTCCTCGTACCCCTGAAGTCATTAGCCACGTCACGCGAATGCATCGAAACCCTCCGACGATAAAATTGACGAAATATCAGAATGCAATTATCCATTGACAAAAATACATTTCAAATCATCAAAGTAAAAAGATACACTCGTTTAATCTTGATCGTACAACGAATCGATGGTTCGATAAAATCATTAAATTGCGTGCTTCGCTTTTCGCAATTTCATCGTGAAAGGATACTAATTAACGAATGATAATAACCCTGAGCGAAAATCGGCGAGTTTGGCGATCCTTAGTGAGAAGCCGAAAGCAGACGATGTCTCCTTTCCAGCGGTGGTCTTCTCGGGTGCGGAGACGGTCCTGGCGACCGTAGGCTGAGGTTTCCTCTCCTTCAGGGCGCTGTCCAACGAATGGTGAATCGAGGATCCCGAGGGGAATGGCATCGGTACCGCGTCCCTCCATATCCTACCAAGACTGATGCTGACGCTGGGAGGTCCATCGATGGACGGTTCGTGCAGAACGTCCTGTTGATTCTTCTCCTGAATCGTCTCGGTCGAGGCTCTGAACGGTTTCGAAGGTAACACTGGAGAGCTATCAAGCTCGAGGATCTTCAAATCCTCGGCCACGTGATCGGCCTCGTTCTGCTTTTGATATTTGCAAACGTTGTTCTTCCCAACGACTGAAATTTGCAAATGTTCTTTCTGCTGTTTATTTTGCTTGTTATGCTGTTGTTCGCGATGTACCTCGTCCAGCTTCTCGCGGGAGGACGAACTGACACCCTGCAGCCATTCATCGTAGCTGATCGACTCGCGACTGAGGGTGTCATCCTGAAGCTTCTTCGGTTTCTGATCCTTTATTATATTCTGCTCCTTCTGTTTCTCGTTCAGATTTGACTCAGGCTGGACCGCGGTGGGTTCCAAGTTCTTCTGAAGCTTGTTACGTCGCTTACCCCGATCCAGGTAACTTTTTCTAATCGATATCCTTTTGAAGGACTCGCTGCGCTTGAAGGACGGCTCGTTACGGTCCTTCTTGCGGCCCACGAGCCTCCTCAGGTTCTCGAAGGACAGCGGCCTCATGAGTCCGGACTCTTCGAAACTCAAACGATCCTCCGTTTCATTTTCTACCCCGTCTCCGAGACTTCTTCTTCGAGTACCATCTCATGTGTACTCGGAAATATTTTACGTCTATCTCACGAAATGGAAAATGAAATCGTCTCTGCGTTTACATTTTATACCATTTCAATCCAGCTTTCTGCGCTCGGTTTGATTTCAGACGAGAGATCGTAGAGCATATGTAGAACAAATGAAATTCTCTCTCAGTTTACATTGGATCGTTTCAGCTTTTCTGCATTCGATTCGGTTATCTCGGAATGGAATATTTGATTCCTAGGGCTCGTTCCGGTCCTTTGAGCCGGCGCTAGAGGGAAAGAAACGAAGGTAAAGAGGTTCTGGTTCTCCGTTCGTCCCTCTCCTTCGTCCGCATCGTCGTTCCTCTTCGAACGGCGAACGTGCACGCTTGCGCGTTTCTGCGATGTTAAGGTGCAACTCCGAGGTCTTCCAGTCGCGAATCACCGTGGCTTTCCTTTTTCGTTCTCCACCGGCGTTCCTGCTTCCTCCCGTTTTCCCCTCTTGGCCGGCAAAAACCGAACGATTCGGCGCGGCGCACGGAAAGTAACCGAGGAGATTTAATTCCGAATCGCACGCGGAACCATCTCGCGCGTTCTGCCTCGAGGAAACTATGCTTCGATAGCGGTAACCGCGCGATTAATATCGCGGATCAAACAGGAACTACGCGCAACGCTTGCTGCGAGTTATTCGAACGAGTTCCGAAGAAGTTTCGTCGCTTCCACGACGAGACCGCCGATAATATGGTTCTCCGAAACCGCCTGAAAAGATGCTCGCCGATACTTTCTCCGCCCTCGTCCGATTACGACACTGATTTCACCCTCTCCACGGCTCTCCATGTATTTATTATCTCCTGCTGAGAAACTTTAATCACGAATTCTCACTTCGAGCCACGCTCGCTCGACTGTATTTCCCATAAAGGCTTCTTTCACTGTACTCGATAGAACCGCAAACTGTATCCCAGCGTGAACACGTTTAAATCACCAAAGTGTGCACAGCGACGAATAGGTGGATCGTCAATTTCAGCTGGCTGATCATATCGCGAATTTCGTAGTAAGCCATATCGCGGCCACGCATCGGCTTCGAACCCACGCTCGACCGACCGCTAACTTTTTTCGTCATGAGAAAACCGAGCACGGTGTTTACTCGCGACTCTTCTTCTTCTCGAATTTGATCGCGTTCACAGTCCAACCTGATACGATATACCTTTACAAATAAATTACGCAACGATTTCGATACGATACGCCAACGCGTGAGATTTCGATCGAAACTCTTTTTACCAATGTCTAAGAAATTCAATCAAAGAAATAGCATTTAAAATATGCATGAGAATGCCTTCCGCGTTGAAAATATTTAAAGCTGAATGCATATTTGAACGTTCAAGCGATAAAAGAAATATCTATCTGAAATAAATTCTTTTAACTGATATCATAAACGATTTATTTTACGATCGATCAATCGAAATGTGCAAAACATTCTCAAATGTAATTATTTGCTATGCTCTTCAAAACGAGTAACTGGCGTAGGCCCTACGAAGTCACAGAAAGTTACAATCGGTAATCTCATCGCCCACGAGCTAGCTATTTCACAAGTTTCCCTTTTCTCCGGACTCTTTTTTACGACACACTCGGCCGTGATAGAACGGAATTCATTCCAATTTAAGAGCCTCGATCGCGTTCGAGTCATAAAGAGATCCCCGTATTATTCACGATTTTACTGTTTTCGATGTAAACACCGCGGCTCATAGAATTATATAAAAAGAAGGAGGTACGCAAGAGAAGTGTTACAATTGTGAAGTAACGCGATTATGGTAATACAGTAACGAGGGAATAAGTGCGAGCGTAACAGTGATAGTAACAGCCAAATACCAGACAGGATTGGAATGAAAACAGTGGTAGAAAAAAAGTGGAGCAGGAATAGTAGCGGCACTGGTAGTAGAAGCAGGGAGTAGTAGCGCGGCAGTAAGCAGGAAAACGAGAGAAGCTCAGCGGTCGGTTTCTGCGTACTCAGGGCGTCGCGACGCGGGTCCACTCTTGTTCGCGGAGGGTAGAAGAGAAGAAGCACCACACGACGTGGTCCCCTCGTCGTCGGCGAGGAGAGAAAAACTCTCGGGCAGTGCGCGTAGTCGAACTCGCGTCGAATCACTGGCATTTCGCGAGCTCTCGACGCTGCTGCGCTGCACCTCTCCCTGACTCACGGGCAGAACCACCGCGGACCCGGAATGAGAGAGAGGGAGACAGGATCGACGAGAGAAGGAGAGAGAGTGAGGTGGCCTCTGGGAAGCAGAGAGCGGGCCCCGTGAATAAAAGTTACCAGAGAGAGAGAAAGGGAGAGAATCGAGAGGGGTAAGGAAGGTGGTAGTGGTGGTATGCCGTCCGTCCACTCTCGCCTGCACACAACTCTCGGATCTCTTCGCAGCATCCCACTCCCCTCTGATAGATACACTTGCTACGTATAATATAGTGGATTAAATCTGTTAAACCGAGTGGTTTCTTATCATTTTTCCATTATCGACACCCTAAAACGTATTCGGCATTCACGATTCACGACCTATGCATTCGTACAAATAGCTCTGCCTTTCCCGAATTATCTTACGTTCAATAATAGATGCGATCGAACGATTCCACAGAACGCCGAAGGAAAGTCGCTGTTGCAATTGTTTCAAGAGATCGATCAACGTTACACCAATGACCACGATATAAGTTTAACGTACATTTTACAAGCAACACACCGTATCCGTTCGGACAACAGTACCTTCCCTATCCTTCTCCCTTCGTTTCCATCTCCTTCTCTCTTAATCTCCGCTGTGTTCTCCAGACCTCTCTCCGCTTCGCCCCCCCGCGGGCAAGACAATCTTTCTCTTTTTCTCCCCGCTGCCCCTTTCTGTCCCTTTCGAGTTAAGTACGCTCGCCTCGCGTGTTCTCCAATACTCCATCGGCTTTTCTTTCTCATTTTCATGCTCAACGCCGATATCTCGCCGTCTCTCCACCCATGCCCGCGCGTTTTCTTAAGGCGGAGGACTCGCGAAGATCGCGAATCGGATAGAGAATCCTTTAGCGATGCGAATGATGCCCTCGCGAGCGGTATCTTCGCATTCTTTTTTAACCGGAGCATGTAGGTAAGAGTCGTGCTCGGACAAACCAAGGAATTGCGAGAACCATTTGATGCAAGCTGCATTTTCTACTTTTATACCTTGCAACGAAACAATTGCAAATTATAGACATGAATTAAATGATTCCATGTTTCGCTGATATGTTTAATATAATAATTGATTCTAGTGTATAGAAATCAATAAAAAGTACCATTTGAAAGAAACTTTGTGTGCATTCATCACGAGACAGTATTCACTAATTTTATATGTCCCCGTATTTTATCAAATGAAAATTCATCTTCCAAAGCTGTATAATAACTGATAACCAGAGGATAACAATGGCCAGAAGTATACATGTACACGTATATGCTAATAGCGTAAACGGGAAGCATTAAGTATAATTGCTCTATTTACCCTCCCTTGATCTGATTCCTAGTTTCGCACAGGAACATGCCGATGCATTAAGGTTGCAATTACCTGCTCTTGTGAAACACTTTGGTATTAATAACTACCCAAGGCATATCCGTGAACTTTCCCATTGTCAACACTTGCTACCTACATCAAGCATTTCTTTTATTAAATCTTGATTAAACTAGTCAATCAATACAGCCACAAAATTATTAATTGATATTACATTATTGTAAATCCTCTGTAGTATGAATTATGAAACATTGTATCAAATGTGTGATGAAGTATTTTATTCATTTCTATTACACTGTACAAACAAATGAATGAGGAAATGGGAAGAAAAATATGAATTAAACAACTAATAATTTGGAAATTGCTTTTGGACACGAGGAACATTCGAAGTTGATGCGTATTATTCAATGCCCTGGCAAGGCAGGTGAGAAAGTACTTATCATAGAGCCGAGGCAGAACGTCAGCCATGATCATTACGTTCTTATGCGGAGATCGTTTCAGAGTAAGGAGCCCGTTGTTCACCGTCGTATTTCAAGTACATCTACCGTCGTCGTAAACCCTGCACTTTACCAGACTTATTTACGAGTACCTTGAACCCTCGCGAAAAATAATTGAATGGAAACGAAATATGAAATTATCCAGGTTTTTACCGTAGGCGCATCCTCTTACGCTCCGACGAAAATTAATCCTTTCGCCGTTAACAGAATTTATGTTCCGTGTAATAAAATTATTTGTTCCACAATAAAGTTATAACGTCGTGTATTTTATATTGCGAGGCTCAATGGCAAAAGGGTTGGAGAGCAAAAGAAAAGTGGCCTAGGGTTCTGAGTTCAATTTTCGATTGAATTCGAAACTGTGAGGGAACGTGCAGCATCGATGTTCGTTTCACGACGGGTAAAAATGTTTTAAATTGACACGGTGATGGCCAGTGCTCTTCGACCTCCCACTCCCCTAACTACCATAGTATCCGAGAGCATCGGCTCGCCGTACTTTCCACGAATACAACTCGGAACGCCCACGCGAGATCCTCCGATGCAAGTAGCACGGATCCAGCGAAATCGACGAGGAAAGCAAGGATATCCTTAAATAAAACTTTGTCGCGACTCGGACGGAGTCAGATTTAATCCTAGTCTCGGAGAGGCGTGGCCAGGAAAAAAGAGTTTCTGGAATTCGCGACCGTCTCGAAACGCGACGAACGTTTCAGAAAACTCAGAGAGAATTAATCCTCTCTTTAAACAGTCAAACTGTTTCTCACTTTCTTTTCATTTCTAAAAAAAGCACATAGCAAAATTATTAAACATTCTAAAATATTCTACGATTACTGAAGAATTTCTTAAAAACGAGAACCTAAAGACGACTCAGTACGCAGACGACTTTAGTACGAATAACAATAAATTAGAATAAGATTTGATAGAAAACATCGACGATAATAAATCTTAATCGATGACATAAGCTGACAAAACACACTCGACTAAATTACGTCGTTACCTTATCGGAGAGGCAACTACCGCGTTGAGCTTATCAGCGAGATAAAAGCCCCTCTAATATCGCGTCAGAAATCAATTTTTCGGAATATTATTCTTTGTTATCTGACGGGAATTAATTTGAACTACGGAAGATAACAGATATGAAGCGTAGAGACTTAAGTTTCTGTAGCATCAACACTCTCGCTCAATTCATCGTATACTGTTGTCACAAGTATTGTAATAAAAATGTGAAGCAACGTTCCATGTAATGGTTGATACAATAATTGATTTCGTGCTGCATAGAATGAATACATAATACAATGCTTGAGACAATAATAGCCAATACTCTGCATACCAAATTTAAAGGATCCGGCCATCAAAAGCGAAGTACGATTCACAAAGAGTGCGACGAAACGAATAAGAGAAGCAGACAAAGTAACATTGGTTCGGAATCGATAACCGATAAGTCGAATCCTTTGAGTAGATCGATAGAGGCGAGACGCGTAGCTTTCTATCGTGCATCGGTATCGCAGATGCGGAGGAGGAACATAGCTAATAGCCGATAAGCGTGTGGTCTCGAGGCGCGTATGCAACGCGGTGCAACGTGCAACTCAAGGCGACTCGAGGACGTTTACCCACGAAACCGGCGACCTTGATCTTACAAACGGTCCACGAACGAAGCTGCGACAGCAGCTGGATGCATTCCATCCAGAGTGCAACCGCACCTGCGCTACCTAAACCGAGAGTGCAACCGCGAGATACGAGCCTGATAACCAGATCACAATCCAAATTACTTCTTTTGTCTAAAACATTCTTTGTACTCTTGTTCACAAGTATAGTACAAAATTGAATACAAAGAGTAATCCATTAAAATATATAAAATTCTGTGTATACGTCACAATACTTGAATGATAAAAGACTTATTTTATTTCTTATAAAAATCTCAATCTCGTGATAAGGAAAAGAAATAAATGTTTCTTATTCTTACTCCTGTTCATTACAGATTCGATCACTCATTGCTTACGATCTTCAGCACTTTTTTAAATTCGATGGTAGTAAACGTTAGTACATAGTCCAAGTCACGATAGCTTTATCATTAACTGTCTAACGTATAATTACATAGTTTACTGATAAGAATGACACGCAAAACGGCTACTCGGTTTTAGACACAAGAAACAACCGGAAGAGTAGTCATGATTACGTAACAAGTTGTCATCAATCTAAACGTAACGTTACGATCCAGAAATACTTATTCATCGTTCTATAAATGCAATCTAATCTCTTGGGCCTTGGCAGTTAAGAAACAAGGTATTATCTCCAGTCAGCTGAAGTTAAACAAAAGCTTATCATCCTTTGTTCAATAGGAATTACGAAAGGTCGATTATCCGAAAAAATGTTTACACAACTTCAAACGAAGATGTGTGTGTTATAGGCGTTGACCGGAAGTGCACTGACCTCGGAAACGTGAATAGAGGTCGGGGAAATCGGGTGCGAAGTGCGAAGTCAGGTTGAACGGGAACATAAATCGTCGTAACGACAACGCAAACGAGTATAGTGACGTAAGCGGAAGGGTGCCGGTGCACCTTGTCGCATCAATGAATTCATGACGATTATCTGTCGACTAGTCGCGATCAAATCAATCTTAAATCGCGCGTCCACTTGTATCGTTACCACGAGTTATAACTCATATCCAAATACGTATTGTCCAAGTTAGAGATCATCAGAAAGTACTTAATACAAGTGATGATCCAATGCAATGGTACTTCAAGTGGAAGGATGGAAACGAGTTTGAAAAAAAGCTGAGATCGACCTCGACTTATCAACGGCTCGCTTCCTTGCACGCGCGTATCGATTCTAATTCGGTGTTCGGTTACACCGACGTCCGACCAACCGCGAACAAGTAACTACGCTCCTCTACGAGCAATTAACTCGGACCAACGGAGTCGATAATCAAAGTTAATCCGAACTGTGCAAGATGCTCCAGTTACGAGATACGGGACACCCTTTGCGAACATGTTGCTTCGGTTTAAAACAAGATTTCAGGTCCACTTTTGATTTTCCAAGCACCTAAGACCGCAATGACCCGATCCCAGAGTTCAACGTCCCCTGGTTCAAGATCAAGCCAGATTTAGTGCATGACCTAATATCGAAAACCTTTATACTATAAAACCTA